GAGTTGACTGCTATCAGTGGAAGGATTGGTGAGATGCGTATTCTTCTGTCTGATGGGTTGTCCGCCAAGGGTACTCCTGGTACTTGGGGACATATTAAGAAGCAGATTGGTATGTTCTCCTTCACTGGTCTCACTGTTGCTCAGTCTGAGCGTATGATTAACAAGCATCATGTCTATATGCTCAAGAATGGTCGTATCTCTATGGCCGGCTTAAACAAGCACAATATTCAGTACGTTATCGATGCTATGGATGAGTGTGTGCGTAATGCGTAATAAGTTATCTTCCAAAATGGGTTATGGTGAGCCTTATCACATCATTTACTGCAGATGATTTTGATTGAGTTGTTCAGACTCCTCAGTAGGACGATCCGTAGCGCTTCGATTCTTTTACTAAGGATAATGTTGTTGTGTATAGTTTCGATGGGTCTCGCGTTATTAGGTCCCCTCGCTCGTGAACAGTGTTCACTAGACGATGTGGGGAGTAAAGGTGACATTGTACTGGGATCATTGCCATTGTCAAGGTGAGTTGCATGGATTGGTACGGGAGTCATTGAGTCTGACATCGGCCTATCTGGCAGAGGCACATCCTCGTTTGATGAACGAGATATATTATGTTGTACTCTCAGAATTTGTGGATGTATACATAGCTTTGTGAGGGTGAATTTGTGGTCGGCATGGTTTCTGGACACACTTCATATAGATGAAGTTCTCTATAGAAGCTTTGTTGCTACACCAACTTCGATGATCTTTCATCGACTGCATAAGGAATGTTGTGGAAAATAGAATGGAATTCATCATAATCCTCAGCTAGATTCTAAGCTTAAAACTGTGTGACTACTAGCTAAGCTTCACTAGCATTTGCGCTTCTTATCGCTAAAGGCATGTCTGCTTTTATTCAGTGATTCATAGTAAGCATTGTTCTTGGAAAATGAGTTGTTCATTGACGAGTTATCTATCTACTTAGTTTTCAAGTTTTATCGCAGAATGAGTTCAATCTTCGAATCGTGTGATCTTGCTCCTCCGGATCCTATTCTTGGTACTACTGTCGCCTACAAGGCCGATCCTTTCCCGAAGAAGGTCAACCTCGGTGTCGGTGCTTACCGTGATGAGAATGGCAACCCTAAGGTGCTCGATGTTGTTCGTAAGGTCGATCAGCAGTTAGCTGCTGATATGAAGGTCGATAAGGAGTATGCTCCCATTGATGGGTTCCCGGCTCTCAAGCCTCTCAGTCAACGACTCCTCTTCGGCGAGTCCAGTGATAGGATTGCTAGCAGTCAAGCTATATCTGGTACTGGTGCTTTGCGTATCATTGGTGATTTC